AACGTTTTATGTTTACTAATAGCATTGGAATCAATTGTGCCTTTGTACCGTGCACCGTGTCATTCTTACATGACTTAATACAACGTCATGTGACCAATGGGCCAAGGATAAAAGAATGGGGATTGAATACATTAGATGATCACTTCATTAACCCCCAAAGCACCGCCATCAGGTGAAATGAGCATATAGCCAAATTGGTGAACAAATCCTCAGTGTTTTAAAACATAAATGAGGGATGCTCTACGATAAAACTCAGGCTTTAATACTCGTAACGGAGTAAAGTTCAGAACGTGCCATTTCTTTACGTCGTGTGGACGTCTTCATTGTAATATCTCGAATGTCAACGATAGACAGCCGGGGTTATAACGTCATCAATAAAGCTATAAATTGACATTCGGATCAACGTGTAAAGGTTGCATTCATGAAATTATATCTGACCATGAGAACAATTATCCTGTTGAGTTGATGTGTACAACGTGATAATGATATATACGTAACAATTATCCTGTTGAGTTGATGTGTACAACGTGATAATGATATATACGTAACAATTATCCTGTTGAGTTGATGTGTACAACGTGATAATGATATATACGTAACAATTATCTTGATGAGTTGGTGTGTTCAAAGTGACATTGATAAAGATGTAACAATTATCTCCTGTTGAGTTGATGGGAACAAAGTGATATCGATAAATATGTTACAATTGTCTTGATGAGTTGATAGGAACAAATTAATATTGATAAAGATGTAATTAGATTTATAATTAGGAAGGGTTACATTAAAAATGCTCTCACTGACAATTGTCCACATTTGAACCGTTTTAGAGGCTACACATCAATGATTATGCTAAATACTCTTTAAAAATAATTGGGTGAATGGAATTTGCACAGATTAGCAATTTCTCAAGCAGTTACACGGCATTACATTCAAAACGTTCTTTGTGAATTTGCAAAACTGCATGCAAGAAAATCAGCAACTATGAATAACGTATCTTCAGAGGCATCACACTCAACCGCACTAGACAATCCAGTGATCGACAGCATGAACATCGATCTACGCAATTGGGATACGATGACACGTCTCGACCAAATCAGCGAGCCTGACCACCCGATCCTGTTAGTCGCCTCTTACAATAAGCATGGGTTACTGAAGACCAGTTCTAACCCGGATCTTCACCAGCCCCTTTAAAACCTTTTCTTACATCATGGCTCTTGCTATTCCATGCGTTTTGAGAACACAAGGTGTCACAACTGCTTTATGTGGTCCATCCTCATGATCTTCCTGGCGTGTTTGCCTTCACGCCTAATGGAATCTGTTTCTGAGGGCAGTCATGATTGGATATTCTTTTGCACCGTCGTTTCATGTTCATCATAAGAAGAGACATAATCTCATCTACTGATGAAAGTGCAATGAAGTTGAATCCATCCGCCAGGTCCAGGGGCAATAAAGGTGTCTAGAGAAGTCGAGAATGTTTCTTGAGTGAGTGAGTGAGTTTAGTTTTACGCCACACTCAGCAATATCCCAGCTATATGGCGGCGGTCTGTAAATAATCGAGTCTGGACCAGACAATCCAGTGATCAACAGCGTGAGCATCGATCTGCGCTACTGGGAACCGATTACATGTGTCAACCAAGCCAGCGAGCCTGACCACACGATCCCGTTGGTCGCCTCTTACGACAAGCATGGGTTACTGAAGGTTCATTCTAACCCAGACCTTCACCGGTTCCATGATTAAGTATAAAGTATACATGATTAATCATTCCGGAACATAACGAAACAGAAGAGTTATCTGAGAGACTGGACGGACCTTAGATGTAAACGGACATTTTACCTTTGAATGGAATCGAACCGGTGCCTACAGATTAATCTTTCCAACTACCATTCAAAAGCTTCAAAAACGATGAATATTGGAATACACAGCAAATATTTGTTCACATTTAATACTATCATAAAGATGATGCACAACTCTTTTACAGTCAAGAGAGAAAGTCCTGACGCATCCCCTGGCAGGTAAAGATGGTGTGCATGGCATGAATCAACGATAACAATTCAGATCATGGGAAAGCGTCCATAAAATCACTTAAATACATTATGCTAAACATGTCTGCTGTAGGATTCCGTGTTGGGGCGTGGATCAGTCGGAATCGAGGCATTGTGTGGGGTGGGTGGGCAAAACCGGGCATGTGTGCTTGGGATGTCTCTCAGGGATGGGTAATTGTATTTTAGCAATACAATGATGGAACGTAAGTGACGGCATCCTCATCAACTGTTAGTGGATGCATGGTACGTATTGTAGGATACATGCTGGATCTATTGTACGTATTGTAGGATACATGCTGGATCTATTGTACGTATTGAAGGATACATGCTGGATCTATTGTACGTATTGTAGGATACATTCTGGATCTATTGTACGTATTGTAGGATACATGCTGGATCTATTGTACGTATTGAAGGATACATGCTGGATCTATTGTACGTATTGTAGGATACATGCTGGATCTATTGTACGTATTGTAGGATACATGCTGGATCTATTGTACGTATTGTAGGATACATCCTGGATCTATTGTACGTACTGTAGGATACATCCTGGATCTATTGTACGTATTGTAGGATACATGCTGGATCTATTGTACGTATTGTAGGATACATCCTGGGTCTATTGTGCGTTGGTAGGATACATCCTGGATCTATTGTACGTACTGTAGGATACATCCGTTGATCTATTGTACGTATTGTAGGATACATCCTTGGTCTATTGTACGTACTGTAGGATACATCCTTGGTCTATTGTACGTACTGTAGGATACATCCTAGTCTATTGTACGTATTGTAGGATACATCCTGGATCTATTGTACGTACTGTAGGATACATCCTGGATCTATTGTACGTACTGTAGGATACATCCTGGATCCATTGTACGTACTTTAGGATACATCTTGGGTCTATTCGACGTACTGCAATGGAGGCCGGGTTACCCCAGGAGGCCGGGTAACCCCAGGAGGGTGGGTTACCCCAGGAGGGTGGGTTACCTACTGAACTATTACGGGAAGAAACACAACAACATGCCGCATCCTACTTTTCTTCTCCCCGCTGAAAGATAATTGCTGGCCTTTACAACCAAGCTGTGGTGAAACGGTAAAATCACTATTCCCGCATCAGATATGGCATTTTCTAAATATGCTGCATCAGTCACTCTCCGGTGCAGGAAAACAAGTCCTATATATAAGTAAGAACTAAAGAGCATTTCCGGTTCAGTTAATGTTCCTTCCTGGTTTGATAAATCCATTCAAAGTATTATGTTATGAACCGACCGTTTGATAGTGACTGCAGCTATGTCAGGAGTTTTAGGAGAAGAAAGGACTGACTGACAAAGGAATGGCATGTGGGGAATCGAATTAAAGCTTTAACCAAAATACGAGACAACCCGGAAACACATGCATGGAGAAAGCCACTGGAAACAGTTTATCAATTTATCTGCTGTATTTGTACAATATAAACTGTATTTGTGGACGATCATTATGGTTGACAATGGGGTCTTCGTAATGATCCTTTAAAGGTCACATGCAACCCAAAAAATCAAACATAATTAAAACACAATTATCACTTATTCATGACATATAATATACATTGCTGGTTACGAAAAAATATATAAACAAAATTATAAGCGTACAATCGCAAATCGAAAGTGCAAAATTGTGTACTTCGGTTTACTTCCCAAGAAACGAAGCAGCCGGGTGGGTGTGCACTCAAGTGTAACGGCTGATTCATTTGCAGATGCCTTCACGGCTAATTGTGTGTATATATATATAGAGATGTTGAGTTTTGTAAATACATGCTCATTTTTTGTGTATAACATTTTGCAATCAACAGACATCATAACATGTCAATGTGTTCAAGTATCACACCTGCCTGTCTGTGTAATTACATAATGTGACAGAGACCGAACTCGGGCCATAAATCAATGCATTTTGTTTATGGTGTATAGCCTGATTGGTGTTAAGTTCAAATTGCATGTGGTCAGTGATAGCAGCTGTGTATTGAATATTGTCATTAGCAGACAGGCAGGCAGACACACAGGTTTCAATAAAACAAGACATTGAGTTTTGTCTGTGACAACGACATATCTATATCACAGTTAGAAATTCTGTCAACGCTAAATAATGACATTGCTTTTAAGTATCGAACTGAGAAAGTGTCTCGGTAAGAAGAACGTGTGGTGAAATAGACAAATGAAATTATATAAACAGTTAATTTACTGTCATAACATATAAAAGGGCTCGCGCCTGTGAGATATCAACAAAACATTTGAAAAATAGCTCACACCAAAGCCTTCACCGAGTATTCACCCGACAACCCGCTTCCAAGCTGCGCGAACCTATTTACTTGCGCACGTGCTATGAGCGCAGCCCAGCTGTTGAAACCCGTTTTCCCCAGAAAAGTCGGGGGAAAATTAGTGAAACGTTTGAACTCCGATTTCGCGCGGTTTTTTTCATCGCGTTATTTTTCAACTTTATAAGTTGAATTTGCATTTTTGACGATTTGTTTCGGTATGTCCATACCGAAAGGTATCAGAATCTGCAAAGTGTTTTACGTTGCATGTGACCTTTAAGTATCTGAATGTATGTCTACTCAAGTAAGGGCGAAGGGGTAGCCCAGTGGTTAAAGTGCTCAGCACTCCGAAGGCCCGGGTTCGATTCCCCACATATGTACAATGCGTGATGCTCATTCCTGGTATCCTCTGCCGTGATATTGCCGGAGATAGTGTTAATAATAAGGCTGTAACCATTTATATATAACACAATGAACAATACTTCATCTTTACGTGTGCCGCGGGTGACATGTACATTCTAACATATATGATCATTTCACATCTAATGACTTTGAGTATTGTGTAGAGACCTATTGTGGCCTGAAGTTGCAACACATCAGGCCAGCAGACAAATAAGTGTGAACCGGATGTCCTAAGTGTTACAGCATGCGCCTGGTGGTGTTTGCCCTGATAACGGCAGTTCCGGTCACAGGACGAGCGCTGGCGGTAGCCTTCCTTATAACTGTACACAACGACTGAGTCTGGCTTGGTGAGTACATGTAACACAACGCACTATGTTGTAAAGGACAGTGTATCTCAATGACATTTGCTGTTTAACGATGCTAAATGATGGTGGTAAAACATTGTCTTATTCTCATTGTCTGAGTATAGGGTTTAGGTACGGATGAAAGTTAGTGTACATGTAACACAACGCACTATGTTGTAAAGGACAGTGTATCTCAATGGCATTTGCTGTTTAACGATGCTAAATGATGGTGGTAAAATATTGTCTCATTCTCATTGTCTGAGTATAGGGTTTAGGTACGGATGAAAGTTAGTGACACAAAGTTAGTGTTAGTATCAGAAGCGACACGTCGCATTTAAGGAGTACAGAATAATAATGTTAACTCTTCAGCGTAGTGTTCATAGGTGTGTTCCATCTCATCACTCCGGTACATCAATATGTGAGCATCACTAATTCAGTTAAGACATCAGTGAAGCTATTAAAAGGTCTCCGAATTTCAGACATCAGTAATAAAAATATGTCTGACTAATATTTAGACTTATATACCATATCTTCCCATGTTGATTCTGATGAACAGTTTACGTGCTTCTGCATGTGTTTGTCTCGGGATCGGGATCTCACCTTTCCGTATACATCTGGTTCATCACTATTTGATAGTTATTCATAAAAACAGGATCATGAGTGAGTGAGTGAGTTTAGTATTACGCCGTACTCAGCAATATTCCAGCTATATGGCAGCGGTCTGTAAATAATCGAGTCTGGACCAGACAATCCAGAGATCAACAGCATGAGCATCGATCTACGCAATTGGGATACGATGGCATGTGTCAGCCAAATCAGCGAGCCTGATCACAATCATGATCATGATATAGCTTGAATGTACAGTCAACTTTTCTAAAATAGATTTGTTACGATTGTTGAGTCAATTTTGTAGATTATATTTATCATTTACAGTACATAAAGTGATGATAACATTTTATCGTTCATTATGTTCCTATTCAGATTCTTCATGTAGCGAAATATTTCTCAGAGCAGCATTAAACACCAAGCAAACAATAGATAATGCATAAGTATTGATATCTCCACCACACAGTTTCCGTTTCCGAATCCCCATCGAATGTCTTTGTAATCATTGTCATGTCAACATTTGTCATATGCCACAGTTTTAAGGAGTAATGGGCAACAAAATTACAAGAAAGAAAGGGAAATCCAAGGCCAAATCGAATCCAACTTCAGAATGTTCCTCGGCTCATGACCTGGAGGCTGCTCGCAGAAGTCTGGAACCCAACATTGGCGACGGTATGGAACCTGCTTGTATAGCTATAATCTCGGAAATAGCAAGGCTAGCTAGCTCCTGATCCAGGATGTATTATACCTTGATACTTTCACCCATACTAACACGACCCAAATACATACATAGACATAAAACCCTCTCCTTTGTCATACAGATATATAACTTACTTATAATGAAAGACAAACGAGTCTTGAATAATGTTCCTTTTATATATCTCCCTTATCACGCTTGGTCCCCTGAAATGCATTTCATGTGTCGGAATTTTCCCTGCTGAACTGACCGCAAAAAACACCAATGGCCATAGTGTTTCTGGTGCGATCGCATGAGCTGTAAGTTTATGCAGTTGAAGAGATAAAGAGCAGACCCGTATTGTTACAGAGATAAAAGACTGCACTGCCCTCTTCGACTTTGAAGGCTACCATGAATGTGACTTGGCCTTCAAGAAAGGGGATCACTTCTATCATGTTCGCTCCTTGCGGTAGGTTTTACTCCATGTTTTTTATTAGCTTAAAACCTGCAGTGGAAAACTGGACACGTACGTCAATTATTCAAATGGTTGATGTGGATATCTTTTTATTGTCTTTGAAATCACTTTTCCAGGGATCGGGAGGATTGGCTGTTGGCGACACATTCGAATAATCGAGACCGAGGCTTCGTACCACGTGACTACGTTTCTGAAGATTCCGTGCCCAGGTAAAGACACATGAATTCAAATCTCCTAAGCAAAGTGACAATATCACAAGACACTGTTTGGCTGTAATTGTTTGATGTTTTCCGAAACGGGGAACCAAATATATCTTAACCGTCAAACAGTCGACTGTCTTTGCTGTTCACGATCTGCGAAACCATACATGATTTTGTACTAGCTGCCTCCTTCCTGTTAGAAAAATGCATCAGCAGTAGTGCCGTGTACGATGTAATTATTGAGGACAGCGATAGGATGCCCGCCAGGTAATCATCTCATGAAGGATTATTGCTGTTTTCCTTTAACTACTTTAATTATTCTTACGGGAAAGAAAAAGGCTCTTTACCCTTCATTTTGTATCCAAGCAAAAGATTTCCCTCAATTAATCATTTCATTTTACAGACAAATCTTATAACAGTTAGGAACAGTGAGGTAAAAGCTGGGGGTTAAGCGTTCGCACGTCTAACTGTTACCCCAAGATCGATTCCCATTTCTGGTCTTCCCAGACGTGATATAGCTTGACTATTGCGCAATGCAGCGTGTAACATAATTACCCATTCACTTTTACAACTTCTTTATGTTCACAATAGCGACGTTTCGGCATAACTTCTTATACCGTTTTCAAGCAAGTAGAAAAGCATAAGCTTGAAAACGGTATAAGAAGCTATACCGGAACGTCTCTATTGTGAAAAGAAAGAAGTTCCTCATCAGACATCCTTGAACATGCCTCGACAGACATCCTTGAACATGCCTCATGAGTTAAACTAACGTACTGGGAATACAGGAGACAGAGAGTTATCTCCCTCTATTTTGTCTTTGCCAGCTACTACAGAACCATGGGAAAGCTCGATCGAGAACAGCTGTTGCTGAGTGACGGAGTATTGAATGGAACATACATCATTAAACAGGCGTCATGTAAGACGATTTATATGTTTATAATGATATTTAACACGATGATGATAGTATTAGAGTCAACAACACTTGCTATAAGTGACATTACATGGAACATTAATCTTGGGCAAAGCAGGTATTAAAGAAAATGGCTTGATTGTTGAAATATTGTAATATACACTGTATGTCATATCATCGATGTTCATTTCGTCAGATGTGCATGGTCTAGATGTTTGGGTATTGTTAGTATTTATTGTGTTATCGCCACAAGTGGCTCCGTTCCTTATTCTGTCGATATACATATTGCCAGGTATAACCTTTTGCGGCCTTGGTGGCAATAGGAAAAACTCGCGTTTCAGAATTTTAAGCTATAGGATGACGACATCTGGCGTATACGGGCATCTCAAGGCCTTGGGGTGACGTGATACGGCCCCTTTAGTCCTTGGAGTGACGTAATATGGCATACTACCACCTTGGGGCGATGCAATCTGGCATAGCTTGTTGTGTAGGGGATGCAATATTGCATCTCCTGTCCCTGTGGTGATGTAATCGGTATCCGTGCACTTCCGGGTGCCGCAACCTGGGAACGGCACCCGGAATCTGTAGACGTTCTTGGTGTTCACGTTTACAGCCGAGTATTTTTTGTCAATATTCATTTTGAAGCTGAAGTGTTTATTTTGTCATCTGGGTACGCCTTCAATATTTTTGACAGGCATTTTCGTCTTGGGTGTTTATTTTGGCAGCAAGTACTTGGTGTTTATCCTGTCATCTATGTACGTTCTAAATATATATATGTGTAGCTGGGTACAGCATGGATACTTATTTGCCATCAGTGAACATTCTGGTTACTTATTTGGCAGTTGGGTCCATCCTAAATATTTATTTGGCAGCTGGGTACGTCCTGGAAGTGCGCCTCACAGATACAGAAAGTAAAGAGTCCCGGGTAAAGAGGTACAAGATCCGAGAGGGCAGAGACAAGTGCCTCTTCATTTCTCCGCAGAAAACGTTCACTTCAGTCACGCAGCTCCTGCATTATTATACAGGTATCAGCCGTGATTCACTCGGTTCATTGTCAAAATGGATCATCAAAACGAAAGTAAACAGCTATACTACTCGTATTTTGGTGCACGGCAACTAAACAGAAGTGCCTGTGGTTAAAGCAACTACTATGCTGGTAGGGAGGAACACAAAGCAATCAACGGTTTTTCTCTGGAAAATTATTTGCCAGAAAGTTTCTTCTCCGATTTGAAATACAATTAACACAAAGACCTGTGAAGGGTACAGCTGGCTCAAATTATTGTCGCGTTCTTTAATGCTTCTAAGGAATATTAAATGATACATGGTTTCAGAGACTGACGGATCCATGTGTTGCCGTCTACAAGAATGTCTTTCACCGCCAAAAGAAACAGTTGGGGCCAGGGACCTTGACATCAAACCGGCTTCCCTAGTCGTCATGGACGACATCGGCAGAGGCACTTATGGACAAGTGTTCCAAGGTAGTTTGGCAGCTGTGTAGGTTCTGGACACTTATTTTGGCAGCTATATCACGAAAGACGATTCACAACATATTGTAGCAATGACAATCGTATTCAAAGTATTTCGATTTCAACAAATGCTGCAATTTGACTTCCCTTTCATGTATGTGGATTACTTTGAAGGATCAGTGAAACTAAGTAGGGAGCATGTGACATTAGACTTGGGTGACTCGAATATATACAGGTCACCGCCATTTAGCAGGATTGAGGCGTTAAACAACGCATGTGCTCGTCTTTCCAACAGGTACCATGAAGGGAACGTTGTCCGTGGCTATCAAGCTTGTGGATATGGAGATGTTTACCTCTGCTGCACCAGACAACCTAATGCTGGAAATCAAGAGAGTTTCATTACTCCTTTCACAAAACAGGTAAATACTGAGCACGGTTTCTTAGAGAAATGTTTGAAACAGCCTGTATCCATATCACTCAGCATATAGATTAACTGTCTACCACACTTACGAACATGCTATAAAGGTGACAATGTGTAGTTTCTGTCAAATTGTCAAACAGTGTCCAATGACGTAATGTTTCGAGTCAAAATTGCCACAAGCACACACTCACAAAGACACACACACGCACACACACACACACACACATATATATACACAGAGAGAGAGAGAGAAGGGGGGGGGGGACGTAAGTAATCTTTTGAATTTGCCATCCGTGTTTGTACCTCTAAAATGTGTACGTAAGTAGCGGGAAATCTTGTTATCGTGATACTAGGGTTGTAAACATACTATTAATTTTAACTACAATATATATGTTATTTTAATTTATGGCTAGATTGTCAAAATTGCTAACATCTGAAGGGATGGTGTAAATCCAACTAGGGTCCATGCAGGTAGCAAAGGCACTTTAAGTCCCCGTGGTTCCTAGTATGGTGATCTATCTTCAGTTGTTGGCAATATGTAGCCCATTTTTATATTGTATTGTCATGTATAGTTAAAATGTTTTAGATTATATTACTAGTTTTACATTTATGTCCGTGATATTCTAGTTGTTTTACTGTCCTTCGTTGACAGGTTTTTATACCTTACCTATTATTATTAATAATATATAACTTGATATAGTCACGATATGGCTGAAATACTGCCGATGTGACTTAAAATCTTAACTCACTCACTACTAGGGTAATAGTATACTAACCACATACCAATCCTTTGTTTACATGACGATAGACATGAAATATCAATAAACAGTAGTGTGAGTTTGTTTAAATTCATATTACTGTAAAAGACACCCGTGTCTGTTCTTAAAAATATATTGTTAAACTATATCTCAACCACTCAATGCTATTATTTTAATGGTAGTTCCAGATTTGTACAAATACTGGGTGTCAACATGATCACCACGAACATGTTCCAGCTAGTCTCAGAGTTAATGGTTGAAGGCAACCTCAAAGACGTCCTACGTCAAGACCAAGGGCAGACAATCCACTTCCACCAATGCGTGAAGATAGCCAACCAGGTAAACGGAACACGTGAATGTAATTCAGCCATTTGTGGGAATCGCAAGCAAGTTTTGAAATACCTATAAATGTGTCCTTTTGGATATTCATATCAGCTCCTCTCTTTGTCAAATCATTTGGATTTTGGTTATGTTACGAAACTGCCTGACAACAGAAAGCATACACTTGAATACTGTCTTTGGCCAAAACACACCAAAGGTAGTCAAAAGTTAGTGGGCTGAAAACAGTGTCCAAGACTTCTTTGAGTGGCATTTTAGAAGTGGGAAGTACAATATAGACAAACGTTATGGATTACATCTTCTTTATTTCGTGAGTGTGACTTTTCGATACAGATTCTGTATCGAAACGTCGCACTCACTGCTTGACAACGGTACAAGAATCTGTACGTCGCACTCACGAAATATACAGAACATGTAATCCATAACGTTTGTCTGCATAGTCTCTAAGACGCTTCAAACAAAAGAACACAACCATAGTACCTGAATCAAATCAGCACCATCAAGATATTTATTCAGTTCTTTTATAACAAACCGCCTCCGTGGTGTAGTGGTTAGAGCGTCCGCCCGGAGAGCGGAAGGTCGCGGGTTCCATCCCCGACCGCGTCATACCAAAAGACGTTCAAATATGGTACTTGTTGGTCCCTGCCTGGCGCTCGGCATTAATGGGTACAACAAGGACTGGTCGGCTCGGAGTCAGTATAATGTGTCTGAATCGGGTATTCATGCTTCACTGCGGCATGGTATCTCAGTGGGCTAGCACTATAAAACCAGCTTAAGTCTGGGCTAGTACAAGCAGCCGCGCATACACATACACACGCATGCATGTCGTCATATGAGCGAAATATTCTCAAGCACGACGTAAAACCCAATTTCACCTCACCTCTTTTATAACACAGTTTATATTACTACGAATAGGTTAGATCATCCATACACATTCAGCATAAATAGAGGACAATTTTGTGATCTGCTCCAATGTGTATTTTTGGTAAAGAGTATCCCATAGATGTTCAGTTGGGTAGTACAAATCGGGTGATCGAGAAGGCCAAGGTAACACCTGAACATTGTTTTGTTAGAGGAAGTCCTGTCAAACACGTGCTGTGGTAACTCTAGGTCGACCTGACCTGGGTCTGTATGTAACATTCCCAGTATCGTTGTATCGGGTCCATAGGTTTGAGATGGTCTGTCTGGACACGCTGAAGTGCCTTGCCACCTCATGCTGCGACGCCCGTCCTTGTAAACGGCCGATGGCGTTTTGTCGTTGAGCTTCTGTCAATCTTTTCATTCTCTTGTCGTCTATAGAGGCTTAAAGCAATGCGCGTGGAGTACCATTGATGTGGCTTTTTAAAGCCTACAGTTATAGGCTTCAGCTCAGGGTGATACACAATTTCATGATGCACGTGCATGTCATGTAGGGTGCGTTTTAGAGATTCACTACAGACGTGAGTGTAACGTTACGTTTTTGTTCAACGTTTCTTTTTTCAAACGTTTTGTTGTCGGCTGCCATTTCCCCACATGTTGGGATTCAGCATGGATTGGTTTGTGTCAAATATTTTCCTAAATTCAAATTGTTCCTATGTATAGTTTCTATTTTTTAAGAGTGTATTACAAACTTATATACTTCTCTTGTTGATGGGATGATATTGATGATGCATTTCTGGGACTGAACATCCTCCAAGAGGATTGGGGAAAGACTTTCCCCCTGGTCACTTGTGATTGCAATAGGGGGTAGGCGCATTCAGGAGGTCGGGACCTGGCTGATCATGTCTGTCTCCGGATGATTTCAGTGTGGTTTGTCTGGTCCTGACTCCACAGTTGCATGCCACCATGACAATCCACTCACTAACTCTGTGTTTTCCACATAGTGCTGCACTGTGCTTTCTCTTTAAGATATGTGAGGGCATGGCTTTCCTTCAAGAACACAGTGAAACATTACGCTGCGGACTGAGGTGTACCACCGTTCTTGTCGGGGAAAATCTGAGGGTCAAAATTAATTCTTTTTCACTTGTTAAAGCACCTATTACGAGAGGTATGTACCTTTACTTTCTTTTGCACAAACTATTTTTATCACTTGCTTGATAACGGTGTTAGTACCTACACCGAAACGTCGCACTCATTGCAATAAAGAAGTTGACTATCCATACAAATCAGTTTTCCTTTATTTTTACATATCCATGTTTTTGTTTTGATAGTGTTTTTTGGGAATCGATGCAATTGACACACTACAATCTGTAACGTAATCCCAGTTTCGTATTTCGCAAATACTTCAGCTCAAACAGAGTTTGTTATTTTAGAACATTTGGATTCCATTGTCTTTCATTATACACTACTAATATGTGAAAATATAAAGTTTAAACATATATCAAATTATCTGTAAAGAAACAAATAAGTCTTGTTTAGGTTTTTAGAGCAGTATATTTTCTCAGTGGATAAAGGTGAGTACTAACGTGTCGTTTTCTACATTTTGCTTACAGATTAACTGAATTAATATCTGTCATAATATTATGGCTGTCCCAATTTAAGAAGAGTCTCTTTCACAGTCTTGCAGAGTATGTAGGCAAATACTGTGAGTGAATCAACTTGCCATCCCTGTAAACAGGGGCGATATATAGCCTAGGTGGATACAGCGTTACCTAGTCAGACTGAAGGTCCTGTTCAGATTCCGACATGAGTAAAATGCGAGAGGTCCATTTCTAGAGTCCACCGTTATGTTAATGCTGACATATTACTAAACTAAACAATCATACACATTCCACGAAACAGCATAATCTCTTCGCCTGTGCTAGATACGCTTAAAGCGTTGGCTCGCCACGCCGAAGACCCGGTTTCGAATCCCCACATGGGCACAATGTGTGAAGCCCATTTCTGGTGTCCCCCGCCGTGATGTTGCTGGAATATTGCTAAAAGCGGCGTAAAACCCAAACTCAGTCAGTCAGTCAGTCCTAGATACGCTTACGGGAATATGTTTATGCAAATATTTCGACTATTTTTAAGGGGTCAGGGTATGATTACAGTTCCCAGTTTGGAACAAAATCTGACCATACTTTGTTTGAAATATGATAAGTTTAAGGAACCCTTCACACTTGTTCAAAAGCTTCTGGGGCACTTTATTTGTTAATTTCTTCACCTGTTTTGCCGGAATAATAGCTCTAAAACGTTTCTGTTATATCGTTAAACATAGTAGCCTACGTTAAGTATAATTTCGTCTATTTATAGTATCTTGTTGTAATCAATCGTTGTTTTGAGGGACATCTAAATAGATCGGTTGGGGTCAGTTCCGGTCACTTGACTGAGTGCATGTCAAGGTCATATCCCAGTTGAGTGAACAGATGCTCATAGGGATTGTCTGGTCCAGAGTCAATAGTTTACAGACTTCTGGATTTGGGATCTTTGAGACCCTCACCTTTAAATTATATGAATCATTATTTTAGCATTTCGTTTAATAGCCTTAAATAGCCTCTGTTTGTTTGACATCCCTGCAGACAACCAAGCTCTTCGCTGGACCGCCCCTGAATGCTTGCAGGAGGGATGCGAGTTCACACCCAAGTCTGACGTTTGGTCATTCGGGGTTGTCATGTATGAGATCATCACGTTTGGAGGTCATCCGTTGATAGGTTAGTCAATGTAGGAGGCTATTATATCAGTCAGTGTCCATTTAGTGTGTCTATGATGCTGACATGAAAATGCCATCAATCCATATATCTATATTTTTTTACATAGTAATATACTTTTTGTGCCACTTTGATTGTGTTCTTACACCAAAAGAAACAGATTCGACAGCAAAAAAACACTTCCTCTCTTGAACTTCATTAACTTCTGTTAAATATTGTTCAATGGCAATCAGGGGCGTTGGGGTAGCCTAGTGGTTAAAGCGTTCGCTCCTCACACCGAAGGCTTGGGTTCGATACTCGACATGGGTACAATGTGTGAAGTCCATTTTTGGTGTCCCCCACCATGATATTGCTGGAATATTGCTAAAAAGCGGCGTAACACTAAACTCACTCACTCAATGATGATGATGATATATATTCCAGAGGTTGCCCCCAAGGACTTGATGTCGATTATAGCAAGTGGATACGTGATACCAAAGCCTGTAAGTGGGATCCCTTATGATGAGGACTTCTGGTACGGCGCCATGCTGAAATGTTGGGACATGGACCCACACAAGCGGCCGTCATTCGTGTCACTGAATAACATGCTGGGCAACTATAGATGTCGACTGAGTCGGGTTCCTGACTACAACTGATGGCATGGGATCAGTAATGTGAAAGATGACAGCAGCGTACAAGCGACAACATGCACAGGAGGATTTATAGAACAGTGGAACTGAAGCCATCGACGGGATATCGTCTGTAACAACGATTGTCAGGATAATTGAACATTGTTTATGTTGTCTATGTATATATGTTTGTAGACGTCCATTGCAATCGTACAGGTAGCGAGTGTCCTGACTATCGGGGTGTAACAAAATTTGGACAACAGAAAGCATACACTTGAATACTGTCTTTGGCCAAAACACACCAAAGGTAGTCAAAAGTTAGTGGGCTGAAAACAGTGTCCAAGACTTCTTTGAGTGGCATTTTAGAAGTGGGAAGTACAATATAGACAAACGTTATGGATTACATCTTCTTTATTTCGTGAGTGCGACTTTTCGATACAGATTCTGTATCGAAACGTCGCACTCACTGCTTGACAACGGTACAAGAATCTGTACGTCGCACTCACGAAATATACAGAACATTAAATCCATAAAGTTTGTCTGTATTATAATGATATATAAAGTAAAAGTGATTTCGTGGCATTTGATGGGCTAAATCGAAATCATAGGCCACGCCCACAAAAGGGTTGCTGTTTAATGACCCACTGATCATGAAAGCGTGTGTCTTTTGTTGTATTAATGCACAGAATGACACCACTCATGTCGTACTGTTGGCGACAGATTTGTCTTTGTGTATTAGAGATTAAATAAGAACTGTTAAAGTATTGTTGTTATTAATGACAACTGGCAATTGGACATATGCAGGATTGCAAGACGCATGGAAGGAACGCCGCGGTAAATTCTAAACAACAGTGACTATGCAGTGTTTGTTTCCCCGTGAGGATGAGCGAGGGTGATTTTACGCTGATTGTAGCAATATTGCAGCGTGAACACTGAAGTGGAAATTGTACCCATGTGGAGAATCGAAGCTATAGGCTTGATGAGAGACCACTGCCACCACTAGGCTACCTCACAGACCCTAAATAAGAATGTTATGTCTCAGTCATGTACGAAAATTATAATTCAGAGTCAGAGTTTGCATAAATCGTAGTAAGCCCAAACCGAACATCAGTAGATAAATAAAGTGATTTTCAGTTTTTCCTATCAATCAAAATCAAACACCGACATATGGTCATTGCAGTGCATACCGTTTACATGTCCCAAAGGAAGGATATGAACTCTGAACAGGGTCTGAACATGTTTGAAGCACAGACCTTCAACCCTTTTCACAGTACAAAGTTGAGACAAAATGGCATGAAATATCCAAGGAGAAGCCTCAGACTTCGCTAACAACACACATTGGCGACGTGCCAAACCTGTCAGTAGTCGGAAATATACAGGAACACTATGCAGTTATAGCCGACCACAAGTAGAGACACAACAAACAACATGGGGATAAACAACAGCCCCAAACATGGCTTACTCAACACCAAAACGAAATGTAGATGCAAGTGGTCGTTTTCAACTCGGAAAGAATCACTTGGTCCGTTAAGTGTTTTTGTTCTCTTCTTGTTAACGCGATGGTGAGGTGAGGTGAAATTGGGTTTAACGTCGTGATTGAGAATATTTCGCTCATATGACGACGTGCATGCGTGTGTATGTGTATGTGCGGCTGCTTGTACTAGCCCAGACTGAAGCTGGTTTTATAGTGCTAGCTCACTGAGATACCATGCCGCAGTGAAGCATGAATACCCCACTCAGACACAGTATACTGACTCCGAGCCGACCAGTCCTTGTTGTACCCATTAATGCCGAGCGCCAGGCAGGGACCAACAAGTACCATATTTTAACGTCTTTTGGTATGACGCGGTCGGGGATCGAACCCGCGACCTTCCGCTCTCGGGGCGGACGCTCTAACCACTAGATCACGGAGGCGGTCGTTAACGCGTTGGGCTGTGGGGGGTAATATAACTGTGAGCTGCAATGCATATGTGTCAGCCGTGTGCTTGTGTTCTACAGTGTGTACTGTTCTGATGTAACATTCCAACTGAACACTATCACTGAGAGTCCTTTCATTACAAAGTGGGGCGGTGGGTTAGCCTAGTGGTTAAAGTGTTCGCTCGTCACGCCAAGGACCCGGGTTCGACTCTCCACATGGGTACAATGTGTGAAGTCTGTTTCTGGCGTCCCAATATTGCTGGAATATTGCTAAAAGCGGCGTAAACCCATACTCACTCACTCCCTTCATTACAAAGGTCTGCTGACTTCACCGGTATAGTGTTAAATGATGCGTGCATGCGAGCGTACATATGAATACATATTCATAAGTGCGCATAAGTGCTTGTGCTACTACACATAATCAAATTGTACAAGGCATACGTAATAAAGTAGATTTTTGTGAAGAACTTTATGGGAATAAATAATTCAAAAATAATTTTAATAATAAAAAACACCCCAGGGTACCGGCTGTTCTTGTCATTCTACAAAACAACCTTAAATAGTATTTTATCAAAGCAGAGGTAGACCCCTTTTTCTTAGACTAGTAAAATTCAGCATGTGATAAAAATTGTAGACATTTTTCGGGATATAAATTATTACATAAAGTACTACGAATGACTTCTTTCCCGATTTAAAAGTGCTGACTATAATACCGATCGTTGGTAAAAAAACAACCCAAAAAACAAAAACATTTACGATAGCGCCACTGTAGCTGAACATCGTGCCACGTTGTGTTGGTGAACTCGTAAGCAAAATCATTCACTATTATAAGCGCCAAATGTATTTCAAATCTGAAAAATTAAATATCATGTGATGCTCATGAGGTGTCATTACAAAGACGTAATTCTGTTCAATATGAATTCTATTAATCACATAAAACCAGAGAATATTTTTGGCAAACGGAAGACAAGCCAGTGCTCTGCTCAATATTAATAATGTTGATCATATTAATTGCTATCATCATACAATTCCCAAATGTAAAAATATATTTACAAATTCACTCGCGGTTTTCCTAAGACGTTGTAAATTGTCGATTGGTGAGGCGTCGCGTTCAGAGTTTAGAGTTTGTTAATCGGAACTTTGAATCCTTCATTAAGATCCATTGTTTGTCAGCACCACGACAGCGATAAATGTTTTGGATCAATTTGAGCACTCACTCACTGACACAATGACGACCCCACAATCAAGGGGACAGAACTCTCGTGATAAAAACAAACCAAAAACAGTTACACTGAACATTTTCTAAATAATATAGATAAGGAAACTGAGAACCGATAGAAAGGAACGATATAAATCCCGACATAAAGTAAGAATTATTTACAAATAGAAAACATGATCTGCCAGTAGAAACTAAAACCGGTAGTAACTGCGAGTCTACAAAGTAAACATGGCGTCTACCTACAAACTGCGGTGTAATATTGTTGGACATCAGAAGGATGTCCGGGCAGTTGCCTCAACAATCTTCCCAGAAGGAGGAATTGTGTCTGGATCAAGAGATGTCACATCTAGAATATGGGTTCCGAATGAGTAAGAAACCAAGTAAATTAGTACATATACGAACAATCAATTGAAAATCGTTCAGTATTCGATCACAAGAAACGTTTTGTTTCATCTTGTTCAGGAAGTATTTACACTTTATGCTAAACAACGTCATGATACGCAAAGTAACTCGTGAAGCAGTTGTAACCTGTCAGCCTTGTCCTTCATCGCTAAGCCTTTATTTACAGGAATTATCAATCAGTTGAATGTCAAACGGAACCTCGTACTACAGACATTATCCTGTTTGTTGTATTGCATTTCAACTGACATATACACGTCAATCTCTGGTCGTTCCCCAAAGTATTACTTCTTATACACAAACAGATTAGTAATGAAAGTGTTTATGGATGATCAACTTCTTTATTGTGCGGGGCGGTGGGGTAGTCTAGTGGTTAAAGCGTTGGCTCGTCGGGATACGGTGATTTCGTAGACAGAACCAGTTCGTAGACGCGTTGAATTCGTAATTCAGACTGTTTCGTAGACGGTGATTTCGTAGACGTGTATAAATAATTGAATAATAGTATATATTAAGTTTGATTTTTACTTAGAATGTGTATAACGAAGTTGATATGCTTTGTTTTCAGTGATACGAAACTAAGGGCAGCTAAGGACACACGAAAATGTGAATGAATATTTTCCCGTATGCTTTGTTTGCAGTGATACGAAAGTAAGGGCAGCTGAGGACACAAGAAAATGTGATTGAAGAGTGAACGAATATTTTCCCGTATCTTGTCTAGACTTGTTTTACATGTGTTTGTATATGTAGGGTTTGTGTTGTATTTTTTATTTTCAGTGATACGAAAATATTGTTACTGTGTGACTGTGTGTGTAATAAAGATGAAGCGTCGTAAAATGTAAAAAGACAGACAACATTGTTATGGAAGAGTGATAATGTAATATATTTATGATCAACAACAATTTTCACAACAGAATGTATCACAGTAGTAACACAGTATCACAGTATCACAGTCACTCAGTGACCATTGGCTCATGGTTGTGGTCGGGGGGCGGTGGGGTAGCCTAGTGGTTAAAGCGTTGGCTCGTCACGCCGAAGACCCGGGTTCGATTCCCCACATGGGCACAATGTGTTAAGCCCATTTCTGGTGTCCCCCGCCGTGATATTGCTGGAATATTGCTAAAAGCGGCGTAAAACTAAACTCAGTCAGTCAGTCAGTGGTTGTGGTCGGCTGCTCCGCGGGTGAAAGTTTCACCTCTCTGTGAAACCGCGGCAGTGCACCGACCCTCCTTTGGCCGCACAGAGCACCACCAGTACACACAATACGATCTTGACTTCTGTTAAAGAAAGAAACATATTTTAGTATATACATTTTAGTAGTCACATGTGTATACAAACGTCGTTCAAATGTAATCAAATACGTATGACTCATTTCATTATTCATTACCTGGATGGCGTAGGAAAATCCTCTGCTATCAACTAAAAGTGGTTTGCCACGCTTGCTGCCGGTCGGGAGAATATTCCACTCGACTTGAAGCTGATGGTCGTCGGGCAGGGGTTGGGGGTCCGGGTCAGCGATAGAACTAAAATGATGAAATATCAAATTTAAAATTTACATTGAATAATATTAATATGATTAATTATCTAACTGAAATGAAATAATAATGAATAATGAAATTAATAAAACTCACTCCTCGAATACATCATCTGTTGCGATGATGGTGGCGGCAGTGAGGTCGAATGATGAGTCCACGGGCGATGTAGGTGATGTAGGGTTCGGCGACGATGGTGGAGAGAGAGGCAGGGTCGGGGACAGAGGAAGAGTCGGAGAAGGTGAAGACGGCGGGGGTAGTGAACATCTCTTACAGATGAAGTCCATCTGCAGGTGCCGTTTCGTCATCTGTCGGTAGGTTGCGATGTCTATCCCTGTGTCGCAAAGGCGATGCTGCCACTGATCGCAGCTGTCGCACTGGATGGCATGTTGTCTCAGACGCACTTCTTTCACACATACAACGCATAGAGCCATGGTTGATGCAGAATGATTTTTTCTTACCTTCTTGAGGTTTATATACCATGAGTGTGTGTACAGGTAAACTTTGTCGGTGGATTAGACAAAATTAGTCTACTCATCATAATTGCCGACTGGTTTCATTGTTGTGGGAGGATTAACAGGTTTCACTGAGTTGTTGTGAATGTTAATTAGGAAGTGGTGAGTTGTTTTGATTGCGAAATACTCTGTGTGGGAGATGTAAGTGTTTTCTTAATATGTGTTTTCTGCTACTTCTGCTGGTCGATAGTTGAATGTTGAATGACGATACTTACCTAATACATATCTTTTAATTTTACACAACTGAATTTAATATATTAGCGGCCTATGATTTGTCAGAATTTGTCGGACATGGACCACTGTGAAGCATATTTTGTTATTTTATTATTTAAGGATATTTTCACCGCCGATCATACTTACCTGATATATTTTATTTATTTCACAAAATACAAACACTTTTCGTGGATTTTCTTCATCATTGAGGATGAACTTTTCCCATTTTAATAACGTCTACGAATCCACCGCTCAATCCGTCTACGAATCCACCGGATTTCCATGTCTACGAACCGGTTTTGGTTACGAATTCACCTACAGCCGGCTCGTCACGCCGAAGATCCGGGTTCGAATCCCCACATGGGTACAATGAGTGAAGCCCATTTCTGGTGTCCCCCACTGTGATATTGCTGGAATATTGCTAAAAGCGGCGTAAAACCAAACTCAGTCAGTCAGTCTTTATTGTGCAATAGCAATCCCATTACTTACAACCTCTAAAATGCCTCTCAAACAGTACAAACAGACTGCATTGACATGTGCAACAATATATGTAAATATGGTGATAAATATGATCAGGATTGACCAATATTCAGCACTGTTATATACAATGCTTTGGAGACGGATAAACTATATGTGAGGCATGTTGAACATGTTCAAATGGAAGCCAGTATTTTGTGAAATATAATAATAAAACTACTCACTGCGGCTGTTACAGTCTGATAAAACCAAAGGGTTTTTCTCATAGTTCATATTAATCAAGTTAATACCAGGGATTTACCTTGAGTCCTGTATTTGAGGTTCATTTGGACCCGACCCGTGAAGATCCGGGGTAGAATAGGTCTTCAGCAACCCATGTGCTTGCCATAACAAGGCGACTATCTTGTCGTAAGAGGCGACTAACGGGATCGGGTGGTCAGTTTCGCTGACTTGGTTGACAAATGTCATCGGTTCCCAATTGCGCAGATCGATGCTCATGCTGTTGATCACTGGATTGTCTGGTCCAGACTCGATCATTTACAGACCGCCGCCATATAGCTGGAATATTGCTGAGTGCGGCGTAAAACTAAACTCACTCACTCACTCATTTGGACCCATACTCTTAATTTTCAGGCGTCCTGGACTACAAAATGGGGGTCCCAAGCACTTAAATATTATTATTAATACTATTACATGTACTATGTTGTAATAATGTTGTAATTCAGTTACTGTTATTGTTTTGTGTATCATAATCATCACATAAATTAATTGCAAATAATACCATAACTCAGCTGGTAGCAAACTCATTGATAACTTATTGTTACTTGATTGGAATTTTTACAACAAGTATTTGGACTTTTTCTGCGTCCCTGTGGATGCGCTAGTAAATTTAATTGCGTCCATTGTCAATTTTTATGAGTATAGGAGGCAGGAATTTGCGTCCTGTAAATCTCTGATTATTAGTCATGTTAATACAGTACAATACATATATTCATCATATTTTAAGCTGCTATGTTTCTTGCAGACACAATCCCAGTTTTACAGAAGGTCATGTGATGAGTGGCCACAGCAACTTCGTGGCCAGTGTGTGTGTGGTCCCCCCAGATGACACTTACCCCAATGGTCTAATTGTCACCGGCAGCAATGACAATACCATCCTGGCATTCACACTGGAGTCACCACAACCGATCTTCAAGCTTACTGGCCATACAGGCACTGGTTAGTGGACTTCTGTCGAACCATGTACTGATGAATTACTGTTATATAGCAGAGTATTCTGATCTTGTACAACTTAAAGGGTAACTTCCCTAGCATGGCCCCGAGCCCTGTTCACAAGGCGGTCATTGCGCTAAATTGATCGTAACTCCCATACTTTAACATAGACTTACGACTGTCGTAGTGCTAGGATCCCATTGAGTAACGGGTCCCTGTGGGATGTTATTGGTTGAAATGTTTGGTATTGATATATTGACTTTTGTTTACATCGATTAGTACGAAAATATTTCGCTCCATATGTGCAGAGAAACTTTTCCTACCTAGATTTGCGGTCCTTGACTACAAGCACTTAAATATTATTATTATTACTTATACTATTACATGTACTATGTTGTAATAATGTTGTAATTCAGCTACTGTTATTGTTTTGTGTATCATGATCATCACATAAATTAATTGCAAATAATACCATAACTCAGCTGGTAGCAGACTCAGTGATAGCTTATTGTTACTTGATTAGAATATTTCAACAAGTATTTGGACTTTTTCTGCGTCCCTGTGGATGTGCTTGTAAATTTAATTGCGTCCATTGTCAATTTTTATAGGAGGCAGGAAATCGCATCCTGTAAATCTCTGATTATTAATCATGTTAATACAGTACAATACATACATTCATCATATTTTAAGCTGCTATGTTTCTTGCAGACACAATCCCAGTTTTACAGAAGGTCATGTGATGAGTGGCCACAGCAACTTCGTGGCCAGTGTGTGTGTGGTCCCCCCAGATGACACTTACCCCAATGGTTTAATTGTCACCGGCAGCAATGACAATACCATCCTGGCATTCACACTGGAGTCACCACAACCGATCTTCAAGCTTACTGGCCATACAGGCACTGGTTAGTGGACTTCTGTAGAACCATGTACTGATGAATTACTGTTATATAGCAGAGTATTCTGATCTTGTACAACTTAAAGGGTAACTTTCCCTAGCATGGCCCTGAGCCCTGTTCCACAAGACGGTTGTTGCGCTAAATTGATCGTAACTCCCATACTTTAACATAGACTTACGACTGTCGTAGTGCTAGGATCCCATTGAGTAACGGGTCCCTGTGGGATGTTATTGGTTGAAATGTTTGGTATTGATATATTGACTTTTGTTTACATCGATTAGTACGAAAATATTTCGTTCCATATGTGCAGAGAAACTTTTCCTACCTAGATTTGCATCCATTAAACTAAATGGTCAATATGAATTAGGTTAAAGGTCACATGCAATCAAAAATACAAACATAATTAAAACACTATTATCACTTATTCATGACATATAATATGCATTGCTGATTGTGAAAAAACAAAAAAAACAAAATTATAAGCGTACAATCGCAAATCAAAGTGCAATATTTTGTACTTGGGTTTACTACGCTCGAAACGAAGCACCCGGGATACTGAACCCAGTCAGAGCGGGTTGGCAATCACTCAAGTGTAATGAAGTCTTTCATTGGCTGGTTCATTTGCCGATACGCTCAGCTGGCTCTTTATTTATGGCTTATAAGCTCGATAGGTGTTAAGTTCAAGTTGCATCGAGTCAATGATTGAAGGTGTGTATTGGATATTGTCATTAGCAGACAGGCAGGCAGACATATATGTGTCATTAAAACTGACATTGAGTTTTGTCTGTGACAGAGGCTGCTTATCACAATCAACATGTTATTTTATGTAACAAGTAGATTATTTACTTGTTTGTGTACACAACCAAGATTAGACTACTCCTGCTCATGACTTTGTAATCCGGACATGCATCCTGCTTCAAGCTCCGCGAACCTATTCACTGGGCATGCATTAGGAGCGCAGTGCAACATAGCGCGAGTGCAGCATAGCTTGGTTGAAAACCACTTTTCACCTGATTTCTCATCGCGTTATTTTTCAACTTTATTCAATTTTATAAGATGAATTTGTTTCTGTTTTCCATTTTAAGTTGAGAATTTGCAAAGTTGCATTTGACCTTAAATTTATTTATTATTTGAATTGATTTTTCTGCCTTGACATTGTTCATCTTAGCCAAGGTTATGTTCATTTCTGTTGTCCCCGCTGTGATATTACTGGAATATTGCTAAAAGTGGCGTGAAACTCAACTCACTCACTCACAAGGTTATGTTTACAAATGTAAATGTTTCTGAAGAAGTGAATTATTGACTTTGGATGTTAATTGATATGTACATCAATATGGATTGATACAGTATTGACATTAAGAGAAATGTTATACATCCATGTTGTGACAGACGCATCAACATTCTTTAGTAGAGATGACATCTATTTTTGTATCTGCCTATTACCTCTGTATCATGATATAAATATGAATAAAATATGAAGAGTGTTTTGCCATTGAGGGGGATATAGATGACTTTGTCTTCTTGCATGTTATTATTTCGTGTTTAAAAGGTTGTATTGTCTTTGAAAATTTAGACAGTATTTACAGTCACCTGTTTTGAATATAATACATGATTAAGATATTGAACAACTCGAAATATTAGCCTCTGAGTTGAAGAATACATTTCCATTTCTTACAAATTTGATGTTGAAATAACATATCGGGTATCCAGGTAGGGTACGGTAATAAGGGGTGGGGTACCTGGGTAGAAAATGTTGATTCGTCCCAGCCCCACCTGAATCCCTGTATACTTAACCAAACCCTTCTTTGCAGTGTGTGCTGTTGCCTCAGGAAAGTTTGGCTTCCTTCTCAGCGGTTCCTGGGACAAAACTGCCAAAGTCTGGCTCAAGCAGAAATGTGTGATGACTCTAGAAGGTGAGCACTCGGTTCACCAGTTAGAGTTTGTAATAATCTGCCATTACCACATCATGTTGGGATTGATTGTGTATATTGTACAATTCAACATTATCAACTGGTGGAAAAACTGAAGATTTGAAATTGTGATTAGGCGGTTTTCTAATGCTTGTGTTTCTTGGTTATCTTAGATTAAATGTTTGTCCACAATTGTGAGTGACGAAGTGTATCTATGTGCAGGCCACGAGGCAGCAGTGTGGGCAGTGGCGGTTATTTCGGAACATGGTATGATGCTGACTGGCTCTGCGGACAAGTCCATTAAACTCTGGAAGGCAGGGAAATGTGAAAACACTTTCCATGGTGTGTATGTTACTGTCATTTCATTTGTTGTTGTCATGGTAATCATGGTTAGCTTTACCGAAGCTGGGAGATTAGGATGGGCTTTGTTATACAGGTATTTGTTATAAATTAGGAAATAGCAAGGTTTACAATATGTTATGTTTGGGATTAAATTTTCTCAGTAAAGTACAGATTGTAGCACTTTAGAATGTGTTACATTTGACAACTTTTGAAATTGAATTTAGCATTCATGTTCATGTTTGACAGATTTGTAATGATTATCTCCCCTTAATCTCTCAATCCTGCTTGGTATGTTTACAGAACCCTAACATCTGCATATGGTGTAAATGTCACTTCAGATATTTATTGTGGGGAGATAAATGGCATGAATTATATAGCCTGTATATTCATACAGCACATATGATTTGTCCCATATGGTCATTGCAGCCAGTACATTCAAAATACACAAGCTCAGAGTCAGAATATACGAGCTTAAATTAAAATTACCATTGCAGAGAGTTGGCAGATAGCTAAAGATAGTCTACAGTTGAAACTATAGAGTGATGTCATAACTGTGTTTAAACTTTCAAATCTATTTGTGTTAGTTATATTATCAACGGAACACGCTTTATTGTCTGCAGGTCATGAAGACTGTGTTCGAGGTTTAACTGTTATGAACGGTGGTGAATTTCTGTCCTGCTCTAATGATGCAACAGTCAAGCGATGGCTGCTGACTGGCGACTGTGTCTGCACCTACTACGGCCATGCCAACTATGTGTACAGTGTTGCTCTGTTTCCCAACGGCCAGGACTTTGTGACCAGTAGCGAGGACCGCACAGTGAAGGTGTGGCGGGGCCCAGAGAGTGCCCAGACCATTCCTCACCCTACACAGTCTGTGTGGACAGTGTGCACGCTACCCAATGGGGACATTGTCACAGGAGCAAGGTATTTTGGTTTTTGTTAAGTCTGAAAGTTTTGAAAGTCTGCAGTGACTAGAAGTCAAAAGTTTGCTAAAGTTGCTGGCAAATTTCCAATTTCTAAATGCGCCAGGTCAGGAGGATATGTCATCTCCTCATAAGTCTTGTTTAAAAACTAACAGCATTTTTCTTTCATTCACTCAACCTGGCATGTAGGCAGTGATGCAGCTATACACTTTGTCCAGGCAATCAGCTGAAAATGTTTATCTGTAGAGAGTGTACATATGTTTATACAAGATTGGAACTTTAGTAGCAAACTAATATTTAGTTCTTGAGGTCACCATTTCGTTGCCTGTCACAATAATTTCTATGTTGTCTTAAAGCTTTTTCATGCTGCTTTATCATGTTGTTATGTTTATTAACCCTAACTCCACCAAGGACATGTTGAACAAAGGTAGCCAATGCCAATGATTCAAAAGTCAGGCATAATTCTGATAAGGGAATGTTCATAATTTATGGCCAGGAGGGATGATGAATTTATGGGTGGGGTGGGAAGTCACCTTTTGTTCTGTAAAGGTAGGGGTGGGGGTCATCAATTTTGTAACACATGTATTGGAGGGGGGTGTCATTGATTTTGTACAAGAAATGCAAGGGAGGGTAGGGTCACTTTGTACATGTTTTTTTTATTTTTTTTATTTATTTGTTATGTTATCGGGGCGGTGGGGTAGCCTAGTCGTCAAAGCTTAGGCTCATCACGCCAAAGACCTGGATTTTCGAATCCCCACATGGGTACAATGTGTGAAGCCCATTTCTGGTGTCCCCCGCCGTGATGTTGCTGGAATATTGCTAAAAGTGGCGTAAAACCGAACATTTTTTTATTTTTCTATTTTTTATTTTTTATTGGGTGTGTGTTTCCATTCACATTGTTCATGCTTCTCCATAAAAATCATCATAACCCCCTAACCATAAACTATGAACAGTCCCAAAGTAACCAAACTCCATGTCCAAATGGTACCAGATCAGAGGGTATATCATTTCCTGATGATGCTTGCTGGACATATTAAGGCTCTTTTCAATATCCATGTGGAGCCATGGATGTCTAAGGTGGGTATAGGGTTGCAGTTCACTGTGTGGAGTTACGCCTTGAGCCATGTTCGGCCAGAAACCTTTCTTCCTGAGCCTTGGTTATGATTCTAGGTTTCTCTTCATTCCAGTGGGTTTCTCCAAGGTGGTATGTGTCTTATGGCCTGTATCACTACAGGCTTGTCTCCCATATCTAGCTGCTGTGCTTGATACAACTGTACTTACTCACTCTATACCCTAGATTTTGCTCCATGTTATAAACCAGATGCTCAGGGGTGGAAATAACTTTAAAATTGCTAGTGTACTCCGGAACAGTGGCACATGTAAAATCACTTGCCCTGATAATTTTTCCACTATACCGGCCGTATTCTTGTTGATTTTTAAAATAAACAACATAAATAACATTGGAAAGTCAACTGGACACCGGTACAGTGTGATATTCAAATTTGCTTGCCCGACAGAAAAAAACACTGGACTCGGACGTCGGGCAATGGGTTATTTCCACCCCTGATGCTATAAATCAAATGATTCACACAGTACTAATCCAGACTGTAATACCCACCCAGTAATCTATTCCTTGTTTTAAAAGGCAACTTTGTACATTGTTTGATCGGGCTCATTTATTTGTTTGACACGGCACAATGTTCATAATGTGAACAGGTGGTCTGTCAGGCGAGACCATGAAATATGAAAGCCATGAACATTTGCAGTGTTTCAGTAGTTTGATTGCTTCTTACATCCCTGTCAGCCTGATTCCAAATCACATGGCTGTATTGTGCTGTAAACAAACCACATTGCAGACTGTAACTAAATGTTAACTGTAACTAGCTGTGACATCCTGTTTCTTTCTGTGTAGTGATGGAATCATACGAGTGTTCACATCAGCACCAGAGCGAATGGCATCAGCTGAGGAACTGCAAGCTTATGAGGAGCAGGTATCAGCATCCACAGTTCCAGCACAGGTGGGCGACATCAAGACAGAAGACATACCTGGTCCTGAAGTTCTAATTAATCCAGGTAAAACACCTGTTTGATGTTATAACACTATACAATTTAAAGAAAGAACAAAAGCAAATACCAGACTTCTGCAATGTCCATGTTGTGTCCTGTGTAACCCTTGAAGGCATGTCCCTAGTATGGTGATCTACCTTCAGTTGTTGGCAATCTGTAGCCCATTTTTACATTGTATTGTCTTCTTTAATTGAAATGTTTTAGCTTTGTTCGCTAGTTTTATATTCATATCTGTGATTATCTAGTATTTTTACTGTCCTTCGTTGGCAGGTTTTGTAATATCTATATTATTATTATATATATCTTCTATTTCAATGTCAAATGTTCTAGTCACGATATGGCTGAAATATTGCCGATGTGACGTTAAATAATAACTCACTCACTCACTCACTGGAAGGCATGAGTATGAGGTCTGTCATTAATGTTCTCTACCCCAATATATGTAATAAGATCTTGTGCAGAAACATTCATCAAGTAAACTTTCTGTGTTGACAACAGATCTTTGAAGTCAAGTGGATAGAACATGACTTTTACCTCAAACTTTTTGATCTATTTCAGTCTTGCCAATAATTGTTACCCTAGTTACAGCACAGTTATGTCTCACTGTGACGAACCGCCTCCGTGATGTAGTGGTTAGAGCGTCTGCCCGAGAGCGGAAGGTCGCACGGGTTCGATCCCCGACCGCGTCATACCAAAAGACGTTAAAATATGGTACTTGTTGGTCCCTGCCTGGCGATCGGCATTATTGGGTACAACAAGGACTGGTCGGCTTGGAGTCAGTATAATGTGTCTGAGTGGGGTATTCATGCTTCACTGCAGCATGGTATCTCAGTGGGCTAGCACTATTAAACCAGCTGCAGTCTGGGCTAGTACAAGCAGCCGCACATACACATACACATGCATGCACGTCGTCATATGAGCGAAATATTCTCAAGCACGACGTTAAACCCAATTTCATCTCACCTCACTGTGACCATTCTTATCTGTTACATTGTTTAGACTCTGTCATAAAGAATAGGTCCTTTTGATTATAGGCACATACTCAGTAAACATTGGATTACTTCGATTAATCTAAGGTTTCATTACTTATATATCTAAATTCAAATTATTTGTTCTGTGACACTATGCCAACTCTCATGGGCCTCCTCAGTGGTGTAGTGGTTAGAGCGTCTGCCCAGAGAGCAGAAGGTGTTGGGTTTGATCCCCAGTTGCGTCATACCAAAAGACGTTAAAATATGGTTAACTGCGGCATAGTATTTCAGTGAGCTAGCACTATAAAACCAGCTGAAGTTTGGACTAGTACAAGCAGCCACACATACACACGCATGCAAATCGTCATATGAGCAAAGTGTGACATTAAACCCCATTTCACCTCACCTCACGTCTTGGGCCTCCCAATAGTTTCAGCTGTGTGGTCAAGTGGACAGAGCATCTACCTGGAGAGGTGAACGCATGTCCATCCCAGTGCATCATACCAAAAAACGTTAAAAGATGGTAGTCATTTCCCTGCTTGACCCTCAGCATAAAGGGGATAGAACAAGCACTGGCCAGCTTGTAGTCCATGAGCTTTGTCTGAAAGAGGTATTGTATTTCTGCGGCACAGAATTTCAGTGGATTAGCTCTGTGGAAAGGGCAATATGTTGTGTCTTTTCTTCTTGTTGTTGTTTATGCAGGTAAAGGTTAAATCCTGACCCTTTGTCCATCAGTAGTATCATCCTCCATCCCCCTGTAGACAGATGACCTCATTATTCATATTCCCTTCAATGACAACAATCTTCTAAACCAGTTTTAATATGGCTCTAACACTGGCCATGTCATAATATTCCAAACAGAAAACCCTACTTCTGCTGGAAAACCAACGGCACCATCAACTAATTCACTAAATCTGGAGTAGGTATTCAGCGTAGGAACTTATGCTTGTTATATGCAACTAAATGGATCTGGTGGCCAATAACTTGGTTGATTTCATTTCTCTCAGTGTCTGCTGGCTTCAAATCAATCTCCAAATATCATTAGTGTATGTTATAATATGTGTGTTATGATCGCTATTGCTTTAATCAATTTGTGCAAATGGACAATGTTCTAACCTTGATTGTCAACAGACTGCCAGTACAATGGCGGGAAATGAACTGACAAACAAATCAGAACAAAGAAACACCATGGTTTTTATATGTTTCCAGGGCGCAAGGACGGGCAGCAGAAGATGGTGCGGCAGGGTGACAAGATCGAGCTGTACCAGTGGGATGCAGCCAAGGCCAGCTGGACCAAGATTGGGGACGTTGTTGGCTCGAGTGGGGGGTCACAACAAACTTCAGGGAAGACGCTCTACGAAGGCAAGGTAGGGCAAGATGGATGACATTTTCTTTAGCTTCTGATCAGAGAAATAAATATATGATCTTCATCGAAGACAGGGCTTGGTTTAAGGAACTGACATCAAAACCTGAATGCACCCGACCACATGAAATCAGGTTGCTCTCATATAACTTACCTATTTAGTACATGTTGGTTGCAGTATTTCCTATACTTGCTGCAGATGTAATTTTGGAAATATTATCCCGGTATCAACATTATTGGTGGTGCTTATGGCCAAATCTATAACTACTGTCACTGCATGATATATTCTATCAATAGTTTTTATTGGTTTTGTTTCTTCAGTTTGTTTGCCATGATTGACATCTCAGGCTGTGTATTGGTAATATATCATATCACAATTTATTGTGATTCAGGTACCCATATTGCAATATATATTGCGTATTGTAATATATATTGGGAGCTAAAGTGTGTGACACTGTTTGTACGTGCTGATCTTGTTTAATATTATTGATTGTAATACATATTGTGAGATAGGCATACTGCCGGATACCGGCATTTTAAGAAATACCATGCTGTCCTCTTGTTTTCCTATTAAACATGGGGCGGTGGGGTAGCCCAATGGTTAAAGCTTTGGCTCGTCACTACCAAAGACCCGGGTTCGAATCCCCACATGGGTACAATGTGTGAAGCCCATTTCTGGTGTCCTCGGCCGTGATGTTGCTGGAATATTGCTAGAAGCGGCGTCAAAACCGAACTCAGTCAGTCAGTCCTATTAAACATGAAATACCAAGTACCAGGTTAAACATAATCATCATCTGCTAGTCTAAGTCTAACTCTTAACTGTAGTGTTACTGAGGACTTTCATGTGGTATGGCAAAGTGAGTGTACTGAGTTTCAGATCATTGTTGTGAAGACAGTTTGCTTTGTACATGAGTCACAAATTTGTAATATTTGGACAGGACATCTTTATTAACAGTAGCACAATGCATAACTTCTTTGAGTGGCATTTTATAGGTTTGAAAGTACCATATTGACAAACTTATGGATAAAAGAAGTTGTTATTCATAGTAAAGTTTGTCAATATAACACAGTGCATGTTTTATAGTCAAACTGAGCCGTCTATCACAGAGCTGTTGATGAGTGGATCATTTTTCTAGTTCAGTCTTTTATGGTTGTTTTGTTATTATTTTGTAACTTGTTTCCAAGATTGGCCTAACTAATTGCCTTTGTTTGCTGATTATGATCTTTGGTCTATGAAGACAATACCTGTGATGATGTACAGAACTATATGCAGATGTGTGCCAGTCTTTGCCGTCCTCTCACATTTATTGGTCATGTTGTGATGTGACTGATCAAGCCGTCATTCAACCCATCCCACTCACTGCTTGTAGGAATATGACTATGTGTTCAGCGTGGACATCCAGGAAGGAATGCCACCTCTCAAACTGCCATACAACATCACGGAAGACCCATGGTTTGCCGCACAGAGATTCCTGGAAAAACATGAACTCAGTCAAATGTTCCTCGACCAGGTAGCCAAGTTCATCACAGACAACACTAAAGGAGTGACCCTGGGTACAGAGAATCCATCATACTCTGACCCATTCACCGGTCAGTAGACAGCCATGGCCTCATCCATTTCCATATCTTCACTCTGTAGAATATGTGTTGTCGTGCCCACAGGGTGTGGGATTTTTCTCCTGAACCCAAGGGAATAAATTAAAATACCATATACCGGGAAATTTTCAAGGTACTAAAATTTCGAGGTTTGACACCTCCAGAGCTTTATATATTCCTCCTTGGGGTACTTATAAGCAGTTAAATGTCAATTTAAAATCCCTACGACAGTTGTAACAATATTTGAATAAAAATATTTACAAAACATTTTGTCTTGTGAGACCACCCTTACAGGGCCCTCCTGCCCCCTACAGCCAAGAGCAGGTAACTCTAGACCGTAACCTCACACCTCACTTTCCATGCTGTCGTTTTACTTTTAAGACGTGGGTCCACTTCCAAGAAGTTTTTAATTTCCCAACACGAATATGAGTGTCTCAGAAACGGCTACTGTATGTATGATTCTCTTTTTTCCCTGCATGGGCAATTTGGAGACTTGTTCTGAACATTTTCATTCATCTTTTCTAGTTGTAACTTGGTACCTGTCGCGGTCGGCTCGCCGAGTGTGTGTCAAGATGGCGGACAGGTCCCTTCGCTAGCCTCACTGTTCATTGGCTTCCCATGTGGTTTTTCAATGTTAAGTGTGGTTATAGTAAATTTTATTTATATGTTGTTACATGTAGGGGCGTTATTTCCACTGCTAGCATTTTCTATCTTACGCTAAAAGTCGTAATTGTTAGTTATGTTGCAGTGCATATTACTTGTTTTTGTCAACTTCATGCTACATTGTTGCATTAGTTGTGTCGCCCATGCATGTTTTTTCATATATTTATGTATGTATGGGGTAGGTTACTGCACAGGTTTTTTACTTGTTGCAGTTTAAATCCTGTACTTCGTGCCTCGCTGCCATTCCCGCGAGGGATACGCACGAGGTGTGTCTGAGGTGTCTAATGGAGACTGATCATGACGAAACGGGTTGTCCGCCGTATGCGATTTTCACGACTAAAACTATTAAGTCCAGACGGGTGGACAAGCTGTTCTACAGCAACCTGCTTCGGACGGGGGTGATATCTGGGCTCAGGATCCCCCGTCCAAACGTTCACACAGTAAAAAACGTGGGTCTTCGGGAGCTTCCTCCCATACGGAACCGGCTCCCAAACGGGCTAAAGTTACCCAAGGAGGCTTCATCTGCTAAGTCTGTAGATTCTCCTTCTGTATCTCAACCTGCCCATGTACCTGTTTCCAACACACCCCCTGTTGCATCGGCATCCGTTGTCACTTTTGACTGATTAACTACTCTTTTTCAGGAGCAGATGTCGTCTGTGAAATCCCTGATTGATACGGCGTTGTCTGGGTTCCGTAAGGAGCTCAGCGCGCCAGTCGTCGGGGGTGGATTGGACGCATCTGGGGGGGTTGGCTGCGGCCCGAGCATCGGCTCGGAGAACGCGCCACCCCCTGGGCAGCTTGATCCTGGCTTAGGCCGTGGTGATAGCGTGCACTCGGCGCCTTGTGGCGACCTAGCTTCGCGCTCAGGTCCGTCACAGGTGCCTGGCACCGGCGATGCAGGGTTACCCCTGCCTTCACCTGGTGCCCTGACTGGCGGTCGCCTCGGCGCCTGGCAGTCAGTCTGGGCTGCCCGGGAAACCTGTCTCGGCAGGTTCCTCTCGGGCGCCTCGGCGACCTGGCATGGGTTCCACCCAGCAGGGCGACTCATTCCCTCGGGCGTCTCTCGACCTTTTGAGTCCTTCATGTTCAGCCTCTGGTGTATCCTCTGCGGTCTCTCAGGAGTATGAGAGTATGGCGGCCGAGGATTGTACCGAGATTGATATGGAGGAGGATGAAGGGAGGGAGGAGTCGGAGGTTGGAGTTTCGTACTCCTTTGGCTCGTCCCTGCGACAGGTTCGGGATAAGATCGCCGAAGTCCTGCCTCAGGTGGCTGTTCCCATACAGGCGCCCGATCCCGCTGAGTTTCCCGCTCCCAGGGGAGGCTTTTGCGCCTAGCCGGGTCGCCGAGGCACGCCTCCACATTTTGCCATCACTGGTGAGTGAGATGGTCAATCCTCTCTTGACTGGTGCCCGCACACGGTTTGATTTGCCCGACATCGGCAAGCGGTACCAGTTTGGAGAGGAGGCGCTGTTCGAGCCACCAGTGGTGGACGAGTAAGTCTTCGCTTCCGTCACTCTAGGGGGATCGTCCTTGTCTTCCCTGGCCTCGGCCAGGCAGGGCAGGCGCCTCCCAGCTTTTCCTAACAATGCGCCTGCATATCGGTCCTTCGAGGAGTGCTACCTGTGCGCAGCCCAGCAATTAAAAGTGGCCGTCCACTCAGCCTACCTGTATGCTCTGCAGGGACAGCTAGTGGATCAGAGCGCTTGTGGCGCCGATTCGTCGGCGCCAGTGCTCGCACGTCAGGTAACAGGTGTCCACTCTCATCTGGCTCGGGACAGCACTCGGTGCTGTGCCAGCCAGATGATGGGTGCCGTTATGGGCTTGCGCCGGCTTTGGTTATCCGTGGTGCGTTATTCGCCGGCCACGCAACAGGCGCTCCTGTCTTTGCCTTACACAATGGGGTCCTCCCTGTTCCCTGGGGCATTGCAGGTTGTACGGGAGGCCGCGGAGGCCGTGTCTACCTTCAAAGACTCTAAGCCTTTGTTGGAGCAGCCCTCCGTTTCTCGCCAACGGCCTTCCCAGCTTACTACCACTTATCCTTCCTTATCCACTCCCGTGCCGACTTCCCGAGAGAAGGCGGACGTACTCCGTGCCGAAGTTCAGTCCTTACTGGACAAGGCAGCCATCGAGGTGGTTCCTGTGGGTCAGCAAGGAGAGGGCTTTTACTCCACCTACTTCCTAGTGACCAAGAAGGACGGAGGGTTCAGACCCATTCTGAATCTCAGAGGGCTGAACAAGTTACTGGAGGTACCACTCATGTCAGTGATCTCCTCCGTCGAGACAGGGGATTGGCTTACATCAATCGATCTCAAAGATGCATACCTCCATGTTCCAATGCACCCCGAGTTCAAGAAGTACCTCCGGTTCTCCTTCGACGGGACGTGCTACCAGTTTCGTGTGCTCCCCTTCGGCATCTCTACGGCGCCAAGGGTGTTCACCAAACTTATGCTAATCCCAGCTCAGTTAGCCAGGTCTCAGGGCAGGTGTAGTTACCCGTACCTGGAAGATTGGCTTCTCAGGGCCTTAGGTCCTCAGTTAAACAGAGCCTCCACACTGTGGGTAATGGATTCTCTGGTGTCACTGGGCTGGATTATCAACCTCAAGAAATCAGACCTCGTTCTGACGCAGGATCTGATATTCTTAGGGGCAAGATTCAACACGAAGCTAGGGATTGTTTCCCTTGCTCCGGACCGTATCGTCAAAGTCCAGAGGACTGAGTTACAGTTCCTCCAGTCGCCCCATGCGTCGGCCCGAACATGGCTTCGGTTGCTACCTTTTCGACCAGACCTCCTATCCCAGAAGGGAGCGCCCCACCCGAATCCCAGGATTCAGTGGGTGGCTTGGCCGCTGTCAGGGATCGCCTCTGTGCGAGCGGAATTCCTGCACCAGTTGCAGACACAATTCTGGCTTCGCGGTCTTGAGAACTTGAGTCCCATCTGTCTGGAACACTCATATAGTGCTACGCACTCACATGTGCACACTTGTGCACCTGGAGCATCTTCTCTTGTGAATACTTCCAGCTATGTAAATGATATGCACCTCAGTGTAAATACATGCACTGTTCACTGTGTTACTCCTTTGACTGTCACTAATTGTGTTATGTTTCCTTGTGTGAACACTAGTGAGTGTAAAAGTATGTCTAATGTTGATACACATAGTAATATACACTGTATGTATAATGATCACCATTCAAGTACCCATCACAACACCATAATAAGTGATGATAGTCATGCTATCCCTCCGCCTAAGAACATGTATAGATCAACTTCTTATGTGAATGATACAAGTGTTGAACATACAATGCCTAATAATGTTGATGCTAACACTGTTAGCAACACATCCATTACCCCTGAAAATCCATGTCTCTCAGATAAAAACATTTGTGTATATGAATCCTCAACCCATATGATTGATTCTAGTAAAATTGATGCTGCATATAACAATGAAGATGCTAGCTATGATCACAACACTTTGACAAATGATGTAAATGATGAATCTGTAATGAACATAAACACTATTGATGTGTCAGAATTATCATCAGAAACTATGATACATGATTATGATAATAATTCCACTAGCCAGACTGATGAACTCCACACCAGCACAACTTCCCTTAAGTCAGTTCACACCGCTGAAGCTGGAGAATATAGTATACCCCAGACACAACCTACATCTATTAACCAGTTTAGTAATGAAACTGCAACTAATGATGATTCATCAAGTTCTGCCAGTAAACTAAAAATTAATTAATCTAAATGTATGTGGGCTAAGAAGAAAACTGCAGTATTCTGAATTCACGTCTCTATTAAACAGTGCTGATATAATTGGCCTACAAGAAATAAAAACGATTCGCTTGATGAGCTAGAAATTGAAGGCTACAAATTATATCTTCACCATAGACCAGGCTTCCGTAGGAAGTCTGGTGGTATTGGGTTAGCAGTAAGAAACACCTTTTCTGACTATATCTCATTATATAACCATGAATGTGAATATGTTATCTGGTATAGAATATCTAAAGAATTGCTTAATGTTGATAATGATCTTTATCTAGGTAATGTGTATTTACCACCAGATAGTTCTAGATATGCAAAAGATGATATGTTTCCCCTTGTAGAACAATCTATTTTACAAATGCTTGCTAAGAGTGATTACATTTTACTTATGGGTGATTTCAATGCTAGGACTAGACTATTGAAAGAGTATTGCACTGTTGACAAGCATATAATTGAAGAACTTGATATTGATATTGAAACTATGACAGATATTTTTGAACCTGAAAATATTCTTTATGCCTCTTCTCTCCCTATAACAAAAGCTAACCAAGATTTAG